TTGATGATCTTAGAGGTCTTTTCCAACCTTAATGATTCTATGATTCTATAACACCGATGATGCTATCACGGCAAATGACAGAGACAGAAGTGTAATGGGATTCAAACCAACCCCTCCAAGTGATCATTTATAAATTGTTCCTAGGGAGTAAAAATCACATACACGGTTTCAACTTCAGAAAGATTTCTATTTTAAGGAGCAGCAGCATCGATGATGCTATCACGGCAAATGACAGAGACAGAAGTGTAATGGGATTCAAACCAACCCCTCCAAGTGATCATTTATAAATTGTTCCTAGGGAGTAAAAATCACATACACGGTTTCAACTTCAGAAAGATTTCTATTTTAAGGAGCAGCAGCATATTTCAGAAGGATGAGACGAATGTGTTACTCACCCAGCTCTGCGAGGACCTATTTTATTGTTCCAACACAAGCACAAGTCTGTCCCCATGGTGGTCTTTTAGTACAGGTAATTCCTTCAGGCTGCTCAAGGCTGTGAGTGCAAGTATCATTGGGTCACAAGTCTAAGCAGTTTAAGACATGTTATTTTTAACTCAAACTACCATAAAAATCTTTCATTTTTTCCCTCTAAACACATGGTTTCATGAACGCACACCCCCAGTTACAGCACGGCAGTGATGTTCTCCTGAATCAACAGAGGAGAGCAAAAAATGTGAGCTTGGAGTATACAATCTCTTGGGTTCTTTCAAACCCAAGTCTCTGGGTTTCATAGCATCCTCCTGACTGTCAGAAAGGCGCAGTGATTCCACCATTAGTCCTGGAAGGAGCTAAAATATCAGTGTCAATGTGCAAAGTCTTTAACGTACAGAAAGCTCTTTAGGTCATTCATGATTCTTTCCCACTCCTTAGACAATAGATTCACAACAGCTAAATACCCTTTTTAATAGCAGAGGTAGAAAAAAAAAGAATCCCTTTACTGAAAGCCTACTGACATTTGTCTGCAACATATTTGGTGGGCAGACAGTATGGGAGACAAAACTTGATTCTCACTTTGCATACACTCCTCCTGTGATTTAGAAACCATGTCCCATGTTCCTGGAGGGGCTTTCCTTTCTATAGTCTCATTTGATGATACAATATTTGATGATCGTCAAAGTTAAAATTACTTACAAACACAGTTGCAGAAGCTATTTAGCTCCCTCCCAAGACTCTGCAGCCTTAGCCCTGCCCAATTAACTCTTTGGGCTACACAGCCCTGCTAAAACACCCACTTGCCAGGTCGGGGAGCGTTACGGATCCGTCCACGCAACCTTCATCATCACTGACATGCAGGAAGTGCGTGTTTGCTTGGGACTGGAATAAGCTTTCAAAAGCAAAATGGATTTTTTCCCATTATAGCTAGCTTGATTGCATTCAACGCGATCACCTGTGGAGAACAACCAGTTCATACACCTGCTCACCAGGCAGCTAAACCTATGAAACGAGAAACTACCAAGTGCGTGCAGACTCATCATCTGACATCTTGACTGCTGTGTGTGGAACTTGAGGATTACCTTAACTAGTTTTCCTCCCACTCCACCAGAGTTGAGCACAAACAAGACAATGTTATTTGCAAAAGTCCAAATCTACCAAGGGATAGATATCCCTACAAGGGATAAAAACCCACGTCCTTGCAAAACAAAATCCAGTTCCACAAACTCACATCTCATTATTTTAATGCATTTTTATTGATACAAACTGCAGTTTCACCAGTAAGATTCATGCTTTGGGCAAATCATTCATTCTTTTTCCTTCTGCATTTTCCCCAATGAGTAGGAAACATACATTTTTAAATTCCAATCATTCATGACACATGCCAAGGACATACATAAGCCTTAGATGAAGCATGGCCCATCATCATGTACCTGGAAAGAGAAATCAGCCATTTCCCATGGCCCATTTTGTTCTCACTTGCATGAAACAAGCAGGAGAGGTACCATTTAGATGAGGTAGCCAAACACCACAGACAGTCCCTCGGTAGCGTACAGAGATGTGTACGTCGATTTTAAGATGAAGTCTGAATGCTTAAGGTAAATAAGAACTGAATTTTCAACTACTCAACTTGAGGGGGAAAAATGGAAAAAGGAAGAACAATTAAAAATAACGGAAAGGCAACCACCTAATTCATAAGCTGGTCCAAGCAGTAAGAACCTGATCCAAAGTGCACTAGAATCAGTCTCACAGACAGAAACTGAACGGAATAGTAAAATTAAAAAAAAAACCCCAAACACCAACAAAACCAAAACAAAAACACACCAAACAAAAACACCCCAACAAACCCCAAACCCCAAAACACTGAATGATTTGTTTTTAAATGCAATTTCTCAAAATCAAAAATGGCAGGGTTTGGGTTTTTTTAAGTTTCATTAAAGGCAATTTTTTTCCTGCTTATGAAAGGAGGGAGGGGGAAAAAAAAAAAAAAAAGAGGAATGAAAGTTTCTAAACCACAAAATGTTATCCAAACAACAAAGAAGCAGCTGTTTCCTGAGAGTAAGTTAGCTAGCAGGGGAGAGAGAGAAGGAGACAAGCTGATTACTATATATTACTATATACAGTGGCTGTTAATTTGGACCATTCACAGCCCATTGCATGGATATCCTGACGTCCTTCTCCATACAACATGGAAGTGTTTTTCCCAGAATTTGCACTTGGAGCAGCACCCCGAGCAATCAGTGGGAGCAGTTGGACCAGACTCTTGCTTGCAGTTACAAACTATTTGTGACCCCCAAATTTATATTTACTCTTTCAAAGATTCCATTCCTTGCCTTGCAGTAAACCAGGATATTACCATACATCAATTAACATGTAAGAAGATAAAATGGTATTTCTAAAAACTTGACTGTAACTCACTTGATTAGAAAACAATCATTTTTATTTGTTTCAAAAATTCAAGGCCACCATGTCATTATAAAGTACACAAGCAAGAGACCGGAGTATATTTACAGGAGAGTACCAAAAATTGGAACTATTGGAAAAGGTATTGCCAACAGCTTTCAGTCAACAGGTTTCAGGCAAGTTCTACGTAGCTCTTCCTTCCCCCCCGTGGTTCTTCTCTGGCCTTGTTCTCTATAGTCTCTTAAGTAATTACCTTGCTCAAGAGCATGAGAGGTTCAGATTGCGAAGTCTGAACATAAATGCCATGGTTAACACAAGACAAGGGAACGCCAGAAACTCTATTGGAAAGACGACGCACAGGAGTGTTTTAAAAGATAAAATTTCAGTGTTGGGTTCGCTTTGTTCCCAGTGGATGGGAGGAGACTGGAAACAGAAAAGGCCACCTGGCATCTTAGGAAAATACTCAACTATCAGGCATATCATCAAAGCCAAGAAAAGTTTTCAACAGAATTGGAATTTTAAGAGTCTGGGGACAAGAAGCCTTGCCTGAGTCTTTCCGAAATTGAGTTGTCCTTTAAACTGCAAAGAATCCTTTCTGAAGAAGGGCTTCAGTGTGAATGAAGCTAAAGCTGGAAAACGAGGGGACTGCCCCAGCCATTTATTAATGTCAAATATGCTGTCTCATGAATCAGGGCAGTTTGTCTGTTTTGGAAGCCTTACAGAAAGCCCATTGCACCTGGCTTGTTGAGCTCGGCATCAGGCTTTAGGCTGATCCAAGAGGATAGCTGCATTCTGTGTTTTGAATAGTTTGTCCCGCAAACAATTTTTTTAAAAAAGGCTTTTATTGAAGAGCCATCAGCAAACAGATCATGCAGAATTTGAACAATACGCAGAATGAGGGGGGGAGGGGGAACCCACACAAGGCACAGCCCCAATTATTTGTCACTTCGTAAGATCTAGCCAGCACAAGTGTCACATTTGCTCTTCAAGAGAATAGCTTCGAAAGCTTCCTGATTTGAAAAAACTAAGTGTTTGTGGGGGATACACACATACACAAAATATACCCAGAGTTTTCTTTGGCAATCATCATCACAGTGGCAGATATTTCAGGATTAGGACAAACAGCGAAGGAAGAAATAAAACCCTGATGCAGATTGTGCGTGCTCAGCCAGTTATCAGCAGAGTAAGTCCAGGCCCAGCCCTGATCATTCAGTACAGTGCAGAATGGAAAAGCCACCTAAGGCAGCTTTGATTAATAAGCTGCCAGAAAACTAAAGAAAAAAATAAGATATATTTACTTCTTTTCCAGCATTGATTCCAAAGGGTAAGGGCTGTTTAGTTCCTTTTATAAACAGCACAGCCAGTTTCTCCATGCCTTCCCTACCTCTCCACCAAACATCACAGTAAGATGTGATTTCTGTTCCCCCATTATCTCCACGCCCCTGCCATGACAGTTTACACCAGCTGAGGATGTCTGAAATTCAGTCCCACTGAAGGCAGCAGGAGTTTCATCATTGACAGCACTGCCATTTAATCCACTGTATATACCAGCAGTCAGGACAATCACCTAGCGCAGCGAGGAAGGCATCAAGCCTAGAACAGGAACTCTTCACTTTACCATAAAGTACAGCGTTTGAGAAGAGCAGAAGAGGAAAGCAAGCCAGAGCAGGCAGCTCAATCCATGCACTTTAACTAAAGTTTATTATCTGACAACGCTCTCCATCTGTCTGCTGCCTGCTTCTCTCATGGGCACAAGCAATGGTTAGCACTGCAACACAGGTGAGGAAGCGGGAGTGAAATGTTGAGATGGCCCTGTGATAAGGCCCGGCCCTGCTCCCAGCAAAGCCAACGGAGGTATAATGGCCACAGTTGCTGCAGTACCACTTCAGTGGCTGTGCCTGGCCTTTTCAATCCACTGCTTCATGTAGCAGATTTCCAAGGCTCGAGCTTGCTGCACAGATTTGGGGTCCAAAGGGTTGCGGCTGCGTAGGTCCAGGTGATGGGCTCCATCCGGGATCACGATTGCCACAAGGGAATCTGTGATGTTCTGGGTCACCCCACCTGCAGACCATGGGTCCAGGCCACCATTGCTGTAAGGAAAGAATACCTCATCAGGGTACATCTGCACAGCAGTCAGCAGCGGGGCTGCAGCTCACGTCAACATATCCACGTTGACTTTCAACTAGTTTTCCGTATGTAGACAGAAACAGACCTCAGCCCTGTCTCAATGTCTTGTGCCCACCCCTCTGCTGAGAGGAGCCTTCTTGACAGAGGTATGGAGCTATTAGCAGCTTAAGCAAGGCTACGCTTCTGTCCTTAATTATCTGCTAATTCAGATAATAAGCCGTAATAGTGCCCCAGCCTCTGGAGACAGATCTGCTGCCACCTGTCATTGTCATAAAAGGTTCGGGTTCCCCTGTACCAAGACATGTTCAAATTCCCAAATCAAAGCACTTTGCTTTTCTTCTTCACAGTCTGCCATAAACTAATAACCAACTGGACCCTTTAGAGATGAATTTTCAGGAGGTTCTAACCTTTTGCTGTCTCAGCTGTGAGCCAACCTGGTTTTGCAAAGAAATCCTTCTGTTAGTCCCCTTATTTCTAATAAAAACCATATTAAAGTAAAGCTTTTCTACCTCAAGAAACTGTCTAAAATGACTCTTCCTCTGTGACAGGACAATTTAATGCAATTTACTACTCCTCCTCCCTCACCCCAAATCAATGAAAGGATTCCTTACACAATGGAAGCAAGCCAATGGCTGAACTGGGGTGAGAGTTTAGAATCTCTCATTCCTAGCTTTGGACTTGACCTATTAATCCCTACTACATCTTATTTTCCTTTACTGCAGTGTTCTTCCCACATGTGATCCATCTTTCTGCACAAAAGAATCAACATCCGAATACTTATGGAACTATGCAAATCTAGATCTGTTCCTCACTTAAAACACTGGACCTGCCCACAAAAAGAAACATTAGAGATGGGCTATTGCATGTCAGTGTAAATTTCTAGGAGGATCTAAAATTAAATCATCCTTGGACATGAAGAGATAAGCGGCTAGAAAAATACCACAATGGCAGCACCAGAAAATAACAGAAAGAAATAATGAGTAAAAAAGTTTTGTAGAAATAACTAAGAGTAAAAACCTGATGGGGTCTGAACTAATACTTTATTTCTTTCACCATTGAAAAAAAAACAAAACCAATTATCTTGAATCTCTGTAGTTATTTAGAATCACTGAAAATAAAGATGACTTGGGAGAAGAGAAACATTTTATATCTGCAAAACAAAAAGCATACAGAGCTGCCCAATAAGCAAAAAGCACTGGATTTAAAAGGTCGCCTGAATCAGCAGAGCACCTTGGCAACAGGGGGATGAGTTGCTGAGAGACCCAAGATGTACATGGACTTGGATCTTTTGGTCCCAGTCATGTGGAAACTAAGTATGCCACAAGAAAACAACACTGTCTCTGGCTTCTCTGGGAGCTTCTGGCTGCATCCTCTGCGGCTCCTGCCAAACGATGGCACCAGAGGCACTGATGCAGTTTGGGAAGTGATGCTTACTGAGAGGAGGGGGGATGGAGGGTTCACCACAAAATAATCTTAAGTCTTAACAGTTTTACAGAATAAGATCATTCAGTACCAACTGGAATGGATTATTTATGTGTTAAAACTAAGCATGCACGTAAGTACTCAGTTGCCCATCTTACAGGACAGGAGTTTCCCAATGTAAACAGAAGAAGTAAAAGAAAAGAAAGAATAAAAAAAAGTCAGCCATTCCTTTCTAGCAGTGGCCAGGCAAGTAGGGCTTCAGAAAAAACCTAATGCAAAATATCAGCACGCTAGTCCTGTTCTCAATTCATCATATTTCCTTGACAGCATAAATAGGGTCCTGCCTATCCCACAGCAAACAGTTCCCTTTTCTATCATCTCTTCAGAGCCTCTTCAGCCCTCCAGCCCTGCCCGGAACAAGGAGATGTTTTACACAATCTTAGCAGCACTGTCTGCACATTCTTTTTTAACGTGCCCACTCTCCACAACTGCCAACTTTCCTTTTCTTAACTTTTTTTTCTCTCACCTTTTCTCTTCAGCCAGGCATTGTTCCACCTTCTTTTCCTCCATTCCCTTCTTTTATGCTACCAATCCCCGCTTCTGCACATAGCTCCAGCATCTCTCAAAACAGAGCCTTCACTTTCTGCCTTTCCCCTGCCAGTACAGAACTGGATAGGTGGGTGCCCTAATTTAGAAGCATACAACCCAGGTGTGATCCATCCAGATTGAAAAATATCAATTTTTAGACTGCGCACACCAAATTTCATACTGTCTGATACAACCTGGGCTGATTTTGACTACCACAGTATGTTGATGACGAGACACTACCAACTGCTACAAGCTCTCTGCCACCACATGCATGAGCAGTGTTAAAATGCCATTTCCACCACTGTGCAGCACTTCCACACCACGTACAGAGCATGTTCCAGTAAGAGTATCAGGAGTGGAAATTGCTGGAAGAGAAAGGACAAACAGGGTTCTGAAACCCCCAATTTCCTCAAACTAGTGTGTTAATAAACTGCTGCGCTGCCCAGGACAGGCAAGTAATATCTGCCTACAGCCTAAGTAACCACTCACACACTACACACCTCCAAGAAGGTACCGAAGTGGCAATGGAGATTCCTGCGTCGATACCATACAACACTGTGTGAATCTGCAGAGTGATGCACTGCTCGCAGAGGGAGAAGCGGCAACACCAGTTCAAGCATCCTGGCCAAATCCCACTGCGTCTGGATAAATCCACCCTACAGTGGTTCTCTTTAGATGGAGTATTCTTCCCTTCCTGCGCTGAACTGTTGTGCAAGTTGCCTGACACTTGAAACACAGTGCTTTTTACCCCACAGGGAGCTGCATCCCCTGGTAAACACAGGGATATTTTTTGTAAAGCACTCTGCAGTGTTTGAGGATAAAAGGCTCTTATATACAATGTACAGTGTTGGCAATGTATTTGTTTGAAGAGAAACAACCCAGCTTGAGATCCAAAGCTTTGTGTGTACAGCACTACTTCATTCATTTGGTTGCTTTCAAGCTTTTCTCATTTCAAGCTCCTTCAGCTGGCATAAATTCTTAAACACTTATTTAGATTTGTTTGCTTGTCTATCGCTTACAAAGCGGATTTCTACTGTACAGAGCTGTGAAGCCTTGGAAATAAGCAACACTGCAGAAATTAAGTTAAACCAACAAATTTTTTTTTATTAAAAAGTTTTCCAAAAAAGGGTAGAATTTCTCACTCTACAGCAGATATCCTGCTGGGACAGAACAGCAAGAGACAAACAAGAGGAAAGCAACAGGCCTCTGGAGCCAAACAGACCAATGCTAACAGCTGAAATCCAGAGAATAATCCCCAATTCAAATGAGGACTTTTTACTTTTAAAATACACACCTATTTACCAAGTCCAACAGACTCATTCTGAGTTTTGTTTAAAGAACTGGCAGGGGTTTTTTTGAAAAGGCCTTGCACAATTTTAGCCAGAGCGCAGAGGAATATATATCCAGGAGCTGCCCACAGTGGGCAATCAATACAGCAAGTCAGAACTCCTGAAGCACAGGCTTCAACAGGTTTATTAAATGCCTCCCTACCACGTAATGACCTAGTGAAAAGCCAGTGCTTAGCTGTTCAAAATTTTGTATCACCTCACAGCAGAAGTACAGCTACATGAACCTCCCTCTAAAGAAAAGCAAGAGTTTAACCTTAAAAATAAGGAAAGTAAAGGCTGAGTAGAGAGCAAGCAGCATGCACTAGTTTTTGCACTAGACTGAAACATTTCTTTCCCTTTTTGTCCACATACAAAGGTGTTTCAGACAAACTTCTGTTGTGTTACCAGTATGCCTTGCTAGAATGGAAACATCTCTTTGTATTTGGTTCTTACACAAGTTTGTTGAAACTTGTCTAATTACCACTAAAAGAAAAGGGAAATTGGCAGTGACAGGAAAGCTCCCCAAGTTACTTCCCTCTCTTCTCTGTATCAAAGGGAAAAAGGAATGTCACACTAGCCCCTCCGCAAGGCTATCACCCAGAGCAACAATTTTAGTGACCGAGATCCTGTGTTATAGCTAGAGCCTGTTTAGACTTTCCTTTTATGTGGAAGAAACAGTGCTTTGGCTTCATAAAAGCTAGACGGATTTACCAGCATGGGAAACCTGGACTTTGGCCACAAGATAAGAAGGAATCCACATGGGAAGAAAATTACATTTGGCAGAATCCCAACCCAGATTCTTCTTTTAGAGTCACACAGGCAGTGACAGAACAGTTGGCTTCTTTGGCCACTGCAGATTGACCATTTTACTCTCAAGAGCAACACAAAGCATGCCCATCATTTATTCAGCTGGAGCATTGGAGACACATCCTTTTGCTACTGAGGGCAGGCTCTCTGCATTGACAACCCAAACTGGTGGAAGACTCCACTCTAGAAGCTGAAACAAGGCTCACCTGAAGACGATGTTGCTGTGTGAACTGATGTTTTTCCCTCCATACACAGAAAGAATCCAAGAGGGGCGAGGCCTCACTCCCCACAGCCTGTAACACTCTTCTGAGAGTGCATCAAAGTCCCATTTCTGAGGCTCGAACATGTCATTGACACCATCTGTGCACATGGGCATCACCATCTCAGTGCAAGCCTGAAAGAAAGAACAGAGTAACAAGATGTATTGCCGGGAGACTGTCCAATAGCTGTTAGTGCAGTGTTTAAATAAAAAAGCTCAAACAGGATTTGATCAGTAATTACTGTCAAACTATCACAGAATCATTTAGGTTGGAAAAGACCCTTAAGATCATAGGGTCCAACCATTAACCTAGCACTGCCAAGTCCACCACTAAACCATGTCCCAATTATTTAAATTTCAACAGCGATGGGGACTCAACAACCACCCACTTCCCTGGG